ATATATATATTGTCACATTATTTGGACCAAAAAGCATACTGGGTAAATGATGATGTTTACTAGATGCACCGCTGCGAGCAAGATCTATTCAATCTGAATGTTAATCTTTGACAGTATTCAACCTTCAGTTCTTTTAAATAAAACCAGAGAGCGTTGACAGAGAGGAGAAGGTAGAAATGACTCAGCCTGCAACTGAAAATATGGATGAAGGACAACAGGGCTGCGTCATGGAAGAAGAACTTCGGCATTAACCTGTTAGCTTTTGCGTTAGAGCCAATCTAATACACACAAACACACGCATGTATGCCGATATAGCATTGGTTTTAACTGAACTGTTGCATATTTATTTGTAACTGTGTAAATACAGTTAATTAGTTATTAATGTTGTTAGCTCCAGCGCTAATGCTATATCAACATATAGGTCTATTAGCTTGGGTGCTAACGTGAAAGCTAACAGACTTAAGAAATTCTTCTTCCATGTAGCAGCTCTGTTGTCCTCCATCCATATTTTCAGTTCCAGGCTGAGTCATTTCTACCTTCTCCTCTCTGTCAACGCTCTCTGGTTTCATTTAAAAGAGCTAAACATCAGATATTGTTCAAAATTAGCGTTCAGGGTAAATAGAGCTCACAGCCTCACATCGGAGCACCCAGTAAACATCATTTATCTGGGATCCTTGGTGGCGTAAAAAATATTGCTTTGTCTGTATTTTTACGGTCTTGTCTTTATAGTAGAAATAAATGTTAATGAAATAATGTCTCGTTATGGTTTTTACAGTTGAATGTGATTTGGGATGGATAAATAATCCATATGAGTGGGYTCTGAGGATAGTCCTGTAATGTTTAAGTGATTTTCAGGCTAATAGTGGCTTATCATCAACGTACCTTCTTCATTTTTCCCTCCACAGTATTATTGCTGTAAGAAGGAGGAGTCTGAGTCGGAGGAGGAGGAGCCGGACTTCGCTGTCACGTCCCGCCTCCCGCCAGTTCACTCCAACCACAACATCGTGGCGGCAACGGCGGCCGCCTCCTCCATCCCGAATGGCCCCGCCCTTTTCTCCACCCCGCCGCTGGCGAGAAAACTGACACGCTCGCAGACCTTCTGTCCGTCCTGCACGCACTACGACCTGCCTTTCTACCTTCAGCCTCCTCCGCCGCAGGTCCACCACCAACCGGACGGACTGAGGAATGGAGGCGAGCGAATCAGCTACCGCAGYGTCCAGCAGCAGGACCTGGAGCTGCCCGTGCCCGTGAACATTTCAAACTATCGGAAGCCAAACCTGGCGCGGTCGGTGACCATGAGGGAGATGTTCACACGCAGCTGCAGCATCAGCACCGATGTTTAGCTGGTTGAAGCTCGTTTCATGTTTCTGTTTTCTTTTGAAAGCTGAGAAGGCCAAAGCGGGACTGATTCAGACTGTGTTTRTGTCAGCTTGACCAGTTCTAGTCTTGTTTATCCAGTCCTCGCCTGCAGATTGAAGGACTCAGATGGCTCTCAGGACAGTTTTATCAAAGTTAGATGCTCAGGTTGATGATTTTACACTTGGGCCAATATAAAAGTGTTTCAAAAATATTTCAACATGGCAAAGAATCATGAGTAAAAAAAGACTTTCTTTTACACAAAAGGGATTTATTTTGCAATTTGGTGACGTCTGTGTAGCCCCTGACTTGAAGGACCCTGCAATGTCAAAACGCCATCATTCGGAGGGATTTCTCTCTTTCACAGCTGCTACAAATCAAACCTGATTAGAAGTCTCCCTCTATTATAATGAGACGATWTATTTCATTCATCACCAGATTATGAAATAGTGTTTATGACAATAGGAGAAGAGGTTTTTTTATGGATTAGCTGCCGTGCACGGACCTTTTTTGTACAATCCCGATTCCAGAAAACTTGGAACGTTGTGTAAATGCAAATAAAACAAAATGCAATGATTTGCAAATCTTGTAAATCCACATTTTATTTACAGTCAAACGTAGTAAACATCAAACATTGAAACTAATTAAAAAATATATAATTTTGAATTTTTTTTCAGCAACACATCTTAGAATGTTGGGATAAAGACAACAAAAGGCTGTAAATGTTAGAAATAAAAACAATAAACAGCTTGAGGAGTATTGCATAACCACAGTTTTTATGTATTCATAATGGGAAATTTTTAACCCCAGTAATTGTCTATATAGTTCTGTATTACACAGAAGTACATTTTGACCAATTTTTTACMTAWAAACTAAAAATACAGTTCAAAGCCTGCWTCTCTGATGGTATGAGGGTGTATTAATGCACACAKCATGGGCAGCTTACACATCTGGAAAGGCACTGTCAGTGCAGAAATGTATGTGCAGGTTTTAGAACACCCAGGACTTTTGAACAGCTGGAATCCTTCATCAGACAAGAATGGAACAAAATTATCCCCCAGGAAGTCCAGCAGCTGCTCTCCTCAGTTTAAAAGAGTTCACAAACTGAACTTTCACAAGTTCWCTGAGGTAAACAGAATCCTGTCCCAACTTTTATTTATGTGTTTCTGTCATCAGATACGATACTAACTTTTAAAAAGTGCTATATCAGTTTCAGCCTTTATTTTATTCCAGTGTGAATAAAATGTGGGTTTATGAACTTTGCAGATCATTGCATTCTCTGTTTATTCACGTTTTACACAACTTCTCATCTTTCTTTTGGGAACAGGGGTTGTAGTTTTAACTTTGGCCATAAGATCATCAGACATCAAGGGCTCATGGAAGATATAGTCCTTCTTTCCACATCCTTTCAGGTCTCGTGTTTGCTGGGAGAGTATGGTCGCTCTGAATATCTGCACAGTGTCCGTACATAAAAAAAGACATCTGTGTTGTTGCAGGCAGGATGGGTAAAGTGCAGAAACAAGTTGTTTGTGTGCATTAACTGTATGCCGTTGAGCGTGTAACGTGGTAAAATCTCATGCCAGACCTTTTTTTTTTGTTTGTTTGTTTCTTTGTGTGTTTATTAGTTACAATTTGTCCCAATCTGTCTTTCTGGTGAAAATAAAACCCAGAGCAAAAGTGGGTTGCAATAACTTATTAAACATTTATCAAAAATGAGGTAAAGCAACCCACGTGTGCAGCTTTACTCTAAATTAAACCCAAGCAGACGTTAGGTTTTGCACGTTTATTTCACTGATACAGCTACGATTAGAGGAGCAGTCATCAGTTTGAACTTTCAGTKTTATTTTATTAGTTTTTTTCACAGTTCTTCACTTATTTTTGAGTTTGTGGCCTTTTCTCTGTATTTCTTGTGACCTGGTTGATGTCCAGTGTCTAYGGCTAAAGATTCACCTTTAAAGGCACATGTATAAAATATTTAACAGACCATAACGTCCACTTCAGTCTCTTTCCTCCCTCTCAATCTGTTGGACTGAGGAAAATGTGCTCTGAGGTTTTCAGAGAGAATCCAGCTCAGGACTGAAGCTGACTTGAATGTCCTTTCTGGACCCCCGCCCTCACCATCTGTTTCAATTTACAGTAGATGCTGATGTGCTCTGCTCTGTTTTGTCTCTTTGTAGATTTTTATTTTATTTTATTTTTTTTAGTAAAAGGTGAAATAGTGCATACTTTGGTCCTATAGGTTGGGGGGCACCGAGTGTAAAATATAACATTGAAAAATATCATGAACACGTTTTCATTATTTAGCTCACTTTCTGCGTGTTAAAAAATGCCCACTAACATTTTATTGTTGTTTAGCTCAATTTTCTAAAATGTTGCAAATTTTTACTAAAAGTTCAACTCAAACCGTAAAAAAAATATGTGTAAAAAATCCTAAATCTAAATGAAGTTTACATTTAAGTATTTCGGAATGGAACCCGTCGTTTGCCGTTAGTTCTCGGCTCTTGTTATGATGTCATCATCCTGAGAAAATAGCATCAGCTAACGCTGCTAACACTGCTAACACTGCGAATGCTTCCCTACAAAACATCAAACTTGCAGTGTTGGCTGGTGTCTGAGTTGCACTTCAAACTTCGGACCACAGTCACCATTTATATTATTTTCAATGAACACATCATGAACTAATGTTCAGCAGCATTAAGCGTTTGTTCGTCGCAGGATGATGATGTCATCCTGATTAGTTAAAGCTAACCSCTGCAAAATGTTAGCCTACAGCAATGAGCTAAACAAAACTACAGTACAGTGTTAGTGAAAAAGAACAACTAGAATTTTATGCTCAGAAGTAAGCTAAATAATGAAAATGTGTTCATGATATTTTTATATATATTTTTTACACTTGACGCCCCATGCTAGGTTGTGACGAGCAAATCCTCAAGGCATCAACACACACAGTTTTGTAAATCTGACACAGTTAATACACCCCTGTTTTTAATCATCACAAGTAAGTGCAAAGCAAAGACACATACTCCAAGAAAAACCACCCTTTAAGTGTTAAAAACTGATTTTTATTTGTTTACAACTGGCCTTTACAGAACAGCCATAATCCAAGCCCCCACGCTCACACACACAAACTCACAACAGTTGTCATTCTTTATATTTTTGAACGTTTTTTTGACAGCTGCACAGCAAAATTAGTGCCATAAATAATTCTAAGAGAACTGTATTATTCAGATTATTACTATTCTAAGTGTTTATTCAAATGAAATGTGTTTTTTATGTTCAGGTATTTGAATTGTTTTATTTTAAGATGCAGCCTTTTCGTTTTCCAGACTCGGTACAGTACAGCAGAGATGTTTCTGTTTTTGTTTTTTTTTTTTTTTGTTTCTAATATATAAATATATAACCAACGGACACATTGTTGCTAATAAAATAGTGTTAAAACCCTCCAGACTTCTGCGTTTGATTTTGAAAATATGAAGCGAGAACGTGTTCCAACAGGTGGGTTAAAACAGGAAGAGCAGGAAACTTGATCCTGGCAGAAAATCAAATGAGTTGGAGAGGCAAAAAAAGAATCACAACAGTTTTTTTTTTCACATAGGAAATTATTAGAAATATGAGTCAGGGCTAATGAATTGGAAGCAGAACACACAACAGATGGAGGTGTGGAGCAGAGAATATCTCACAGAAAACCTGCACGTTTGAGACGCACAGCCATTTTGTGATATTTATGCAACCACTCTGCTGCAAAAAAATATATAAAATCTTCAAATTATGATTAATATCATCTAATTTAAACTTACTTGTGCTATTTTTTTGTTTTGCAAAAGCTGTAATAGGGAATTATGTGCTTCTGGCTCCAACACAAAATGAAAAAATRTTTTTAACACTGTCATTTGTTTTCTAACAGAGAATTGGCCTTTTCACTCTGATTTAAAACTAGAATTTCATGGGGTTTATTGCTATAACCCAGTAACTTCCATTCCTCTACATGCTTGAAGGAGCTTTTGAAAGCTGCAGAGTTTGACAGTATTTCGCCCTTTCACACACACATTCAGCATATTGATTCTGAAAGTGAAGGAATGGAAAAACCACAAATTGTGTTAAAGTGCAGTCATTACATGGGTTTTCTGTTGATAATATATTTCAAGAAACGTAATATCACCCATTCATTATGCCTAACCCCCAAATTATTATTGACGTTTTTAGAATTCTGCAGAGTCATAAGAAATGATTAAGCAGCTGCTTCAAATCGAAACATAGCAGCCCAGGGTTTGCCAAAAGAAATTTATAATGAGAACTAGTCCTGTGTTTTTCAAAGTGGGAGCCATGCCCCCTGCCTAGCTGGAAGGAAGATACAAAAATGAAAAAAAAAAAATATTTATCTAAACCATTACCATGAAATATACAATTTTATAATATATTGAAATGTTATTTAAGAGAGGTAAGATTTCTTTTGTTCGGCTCTTATCATCAACAGTTATTTAAGAAGTTGGCTTTTCAATGGAAATAAAAAAGTGTTTAAAACATGTTAGCTAATACAATCTTTATGCTGAACAAATGTAATGGAGGTTAAGAGTTAATTGACTCACTGAGTCAGGTGTGTTGGAGCAGAGAAACAAGRAAAACATGCTGTCCTCAAGGACCTGCGTTTGACACCCCTGCAATAAAGGGTCTGAGTCTGAGATGGAGGTTTAATGACTGTCAGCTTGAGCTGCCTCACAGTGCATCGTTTAGCTTTGAATCAATGTTACAACATGCTGATCATCATCATCCTCACCCTCGCCTCACCCAACACTCTCCCACATTTTTTGTACGTCTTAAAGTTCCTCTTTCTCAAGCACATTTTCTTCTTTGCTTTTKATTACAACTGTCCTTGGCTGCGTTCCACCAGCCGTGGAATCTAGATGTTCATGAAACGAGCAGCTGGGATTCCATGAATTATAAACAAGTAAACAGCAGGAGGTTTTCCAACTAGAACAACACACCAGTTYGGTCGAGCTGTGGCTGCTGAGCCGGCTCCATGCACCTGTAGCTCATTACCAGCTCTGCAGTATCCCACCTTCAGATCCTGGTTCACCAGGTCCCGTCGCACATTAGCAGACTGGCTGGTTTCAGACTGTCTAAGATTGGGACTAATGTTRCTTTTATCTGCTGGATGAAATTCAGGACACATGTCCATCCTGCTGTTTTAAAAACTGTTGATTCTGCTTATTTGAGGAAAAAGATCAGCTTATTTCTCAAAGGTTACAACCTTTTAAATTAAGACCTACATTCTATTAAAATAATTTGAGACTTGATGCTTTAATTATATCTCAGTTCAATCATCTTTATCATTAATATCAAATATGTTCTGTTCTCTTCCATTTAAGGATCCAATTAAAATTCACATTTCTTGTTTTTACCCTAAATTGCACCTTATCTGTCAGAACTTTTACACCATCACATTCCAGCAACAATCTACAACTTTCGTTTTATTATTACAGGAGATATTTATGTAGGTTTTGACAAATTAAAATATTAGTTTTTAGCAGCCAAGGTAAAGGATGTTGTTACAACACTCATGACTCGTACTGCTGTGTTATAGGCAGTGAGAAATAACTGACCTCCATAAATCTCTCTTTCTCCCACAAACACGTGACTCCGTGCAGGAGCCATTACCGCCCGGTGTGTGTAATAGTGCAGTTTCCTAAAGGGGTGGAGGGGGCTTCTGCTCTGAATTTTTCATTTCCACACACTCTATGTTTCTGTATAACAACTAATAAATAAACAATGAATCCAGAGGACATAACACAGAATGGACCAGATTTTATGCCCTCTATACCTACACATCAGCTCCTCTTGTCTCCTCTTTTTGCTTCTTATTGTCATCTCARTGGTGTTTTGGTCTATGTTTTAGCACCGCTGAACTTGGCCTGTAAAAGCACCTGGATGATTTTGGAGCCTGATATCTGATAACAAAAAAAGGGTTCTGTTTTTTTAATAACTATAACCTTTTGTTTTGTTATTAAAGTCAGTTTAACAACTAAATATGCTAAGGGTTGCTGCAATCATGTAATATTCCCCTTTGTGAAAAAGTATGATGGTTGTTTCAAAGAGGGTGAAAATTTTGTTTTGTATGTTTTAGTTAGCAATGGTTTTGGCGCCATCTGGTGGTCAAAAGGATGGTTGTTTTTGAAAACTACAAAACTACAAAAAAAAATTTAAAAAATCTAAATACTGTCACCAATGTAATGATTTGCTGCATTTTTATGTGATAGAAAAATATTTTTAAACTTTCATATCAACTAAAGAAGATCTTTGAAGCTTTTGTATTTAAAAATCAGCTTTTTAAGTACATTGTTAATGTATAAACAACATGATTACAACACTTAACTCTTCAAGTTATTTCCTGGCCAATCATAAAATCATAAATTAAGATGTTTCCAATGCATTGTAGATATTATTAAGCTGTTATGCAAGCTTTGTGGTATTGTTTGTTCAATAGACAAGTGGCTAAAACAACAAATAAAACATAAACCAATGAGTTTATAAAATTAAACAAGACTTTTTTTTTTAGCATGTATCTACTTTTTCACATGACCTGGCCTTTTAAATTTCGTTTTTCCTATTTTATTGGGTTTTGACTGTGGTGTTCGCTCTGCGCATGCTCGGTAGATGGCCATAGTAAATACTTCCGTAAAGTCACGCCCCCTTGTTTCTGTATCCAATGAAATATCAGTATTTCACTTCTAGCCGCGAACTGCAAATTTCTCAGTTTTTTTTCGACGTTGCTGAATGCTAAGTCAACGAATGTGGCTGCCCCACTTACAGCAATATGAGCACGGAACAGGCCGTCGAAACGAACTGTAGTGCAAATGATGTTCACATTTCAACGCCAGAGATAAACGACTCAAAAAAAGAGGCGCTGAAGAGGTACGTAACAGTTAGCTTAGATAGCTAGTTGAGGTAGCTAGTTGCTTTTTACAGCCGGGGTTAGCTTCAGTTTTTAACCTCAATGGGAAGCTGCCACAGTTTATTTGTATGCCTCAAATGTTAAACTAAGTGGTTAAATATATTTTATTTGTCTCGTTATGTAGTGATAGAGTTAACATAAATGTTGCATACTAAACTGATAGGACAGAGGAGTCCAATCCTGGGCCTCTGTTTCTTATTTGTTTCCCTGCTCCAGCACACCGAATAAATGAACTACCCCATGTTTTACAGATGCCTGTTAATCACCCATTCATTCATACCAGGTGGATTGGAGCAGAGAAACCTCACAAATATGCAGAAGAGTGATCTTTGAGGAACAGGATCATGTCTTCACTGCAAAAACTGTGCACCTAACCAAGTTTTAAATCCTTATATCAGCCAAAAAAGTTTTTTTGATCTTGTTTTGAGACTGATTTACTAAACAAGAACTGATTGTGTAAGAATGATAATCTTGTTTTCAGAATATGTAAGGTTATTTGTCTTGTTCGCCTGAAAATTTGACTCAAATTAAGTCAAAAATTTCTGCCAATGAAGTAAGACAATTTTACTTGGTAAGATTCTTGAAATAAGAAAATACTGAGTCAAATCAAGTATTTCAAGAATCTTACCAAGTAAAATTTTCTTACTCCACTGTCAGAAAATTTTGACTTAATTTGAGTCGAATTTTCAGACTAACAAGACAAATAATCTTACACATTCTGAAAACAAGATTATTATTCTTACATAATCCATTCTTGTTTAGTAAATCAGTCTCAAAACAAGATCAAAAAGACTTTTTGGCTGGATATAAGATTTTAAAACTTGGTTAGATGGACAGTTTTTGCAGTGTTGGGAATGCCTTAATATTTGAAATAATAAACTTGGTTTATTTGCAATAAACTCCTTTTTGGGTGGTACTTATATCACAGGAGAAAAAAATATAYGGTAGTTGATAAATGTATACGGTTGAACTAAACAACATAGGAAATTACTTTTTAAAAGTGTACTTTGACTACTTTTACTAATATTCACTTAACTATTTTTCAGAGGATTTTTATTGTTTAATTGCATAACTACGATGAAATATTAATGATTTACTTCATCATGAAAGGCTTTGGATTATTTTTGCATCACCTAGGATTGGGCAAAATCATATTGTTGGTAATTAATCATCAGTAAAACTGTCAGTTAGTATTTGCCACTTGGCGACATGTTTTTGTGTATGACACATTGTCACTTCAGTGATCCCAATGGTAAAGGCAGCGTAGRGCAGCTAACACTAATTCTAAYCCTACAAACTTGTTTAATCACCTGAAACACCAACATAAACTGGAGTATAAGGAAAGCCAGGAAAAGCAAACAAAGGCCACAACGTCTGCTACATATTAGAGGCAACTTAGGAAATAACTCGTTTTAAGTTGGATCTTTTTGCACATTGTTAGATTTAATTTAAATTTAAAAAATAAAAATTAAAAGTAACAAGTTGGCTGAATGTATTTTTTGAATTTGTTTACTTTTGCYATTTCTGACAAGGACTGGCTTGATTACTCTCACAACCAATTTTTTTCCCCAAGACATCTCTTATTGTTTTACCAAAAAAAAAAAAAAGGCATCTCTCCATTTCCTCCTAGAACTCCATTCYCAAGGTTTAAGAAAGTACACTCCCAGTTCAAGTCACCAGTAAGTAGCTCATCTAGTCTCCGGCCTGCACAAACTCTTGTATGCCACAGTGTGTTTGTTGTTCCTCARTCGCATGACTTGTTTTTGGTACATTTTGCAGCTTCAAGTAGCAGATAGTCCTAAAGAAGAGGTGGCAGAGCTACAAAAGAAAAAGGAGCAGCTGGATTTAGAGATAGCACAGCTGGAGGCAGAGTGAGTACAACTATGGTTGTCTTTTATATTTAATAGTTTGCATTTTGCTYGCTGAGCTTGAATATTGGCAAAAAAAAATGTCCTTTGCTTGACACCAATATTATTTTTGTTTTTGCCAGAGGATATAGTGTTGAAGAGCTGGAGGATCATATTGATAAGCTGCATGAATACAACGACATCAAAGACATTGGACAGTCACTTCTAGGTCRTATTGGTAAGAGATAAACTTTATTTCACCGTACTATGTTATATTTTGGAAAAAGTCCAGATTTGCAGCTTCATCTGGCAAATTTGACTGAGATAAAATTTTGTTTTCAGCTTAATTTTTATTAAATCAATTGGATTGCATTTGCTTATTTGTTCCATCACAGTGAACATGTGATCATGTGCAATAAAACAGCTTAAATGACCAATTTTGTTTTAAATAATCCAAACATCAGTTTTGGCACAAGAGCATTGTGGTTGTTTTCAATCTTTTGCGATGACTGAAGGTCAATACAAATAATAGGTTTAATAGGTAGACAAAACTGATGGTTTGTGTATTCATGAAACCTGATATGAGCTGCAGGTTAGGGAAAATGCAAATTTAAAAACGGTAGGCTTGAATTCAGTGGGTCAGATTCATTTATGTTGTTCTACAGCCAACCAGTAGAGGGCAGCAGAGGCATTTGTTTTTATTTAGCAGAATGTAATCTGACAACACTGAAAAGGCTTTGATTGTTCTGTCTGGTTATTTCTGACTAAAGTCTTATAAATGATCATTGTGTGCTATCATTACATTAGTTCTGTTATGAATCCAGCTCAYACTCTTCAAATAACCACCTGGTAAAATCTTAATTTTCTGTGGTCTTTCATAAATTGGCTGATATTAATCAGCAGCTGGGACCTTTTGATTCAGCTTACTCAAATCTGTGATCAAAATGATGTTAATACAACAATRATAGCAGTTGGTTTAACAAAATTATAGTCTGTGTTGCAACCATTCAWGGATGAGTAAGTAGAGCAAAGGTCACGTCACTTAGGAAAGTCGTGGTGAGTCACGACCGAGTTGGTTTAGCTCATGACTTTTTACTATATTTATATCTTGTGTAATTGTTTGTGTGACATAAAATGTAGACATTATTATGAGTTTTATTCTATACTTTGCTGTACTGATGTGTAAAAATGAGAGAAAATCAAGATAAAGTTTGAGTTAAAGCTTTACGTTCAGAGTAGTAAAGATATGGGATGATAATGACCTCAGTGAACGGAGATGGGATTTCCACTCGGACTCAATGCCAGTCTTTCACACCACTCACACTTACAGACAATTCCAGTCTCTGTCTACGCTTATGCTTATATTCATACGCACACGTGCAATGAAATACAAGCAGTTTCTATCTTCTTCTTTTTCTTCTTGCTGTCTTTGTCACTTTTTTTTTTTTTTCAAAACAAACACTTTCACAAAGAGTCTACACTTCGACACTGAGGACTGTTGTGTTGTATGTTGGGAGGGAGGAGACTGGTGGGCTGCTGTGGAGTGAGAGACGTCCTGTGGTACCCTCTAAAGACAACTGTCCCTTTGTCTCTGATTGTGGTTTCTGTCTTCAAGAATTAGAACCATCAAAATTTGAACATCTTCTTTTCATATATAACTTTTAAAATACTGACGTTTTTAAATCAAATGCACTGTTATGAAAGTTTGCTGATTTTTTTTTCCCGTAGGATCAGCATTGAATCATAGAAATGTTTCATTTTAACATTGCTGAAAAAATGTAAAATGTGAGAAACATATTTAAGTTTGTGCAAAATCAATATGTTCAGGCACACATTTAAATTTTTATTCTTCATCTGAAGTTAAATATTAATTTTAAAGGTTAAAAGAAGCATTTCAGTTG